TTCCATTTTGAAAGAAGCAAAAAAATCAATTTCAGGAAAAGATTCTAGAATGTTCAAGTGCATGAAATGCATTTTCAAATTATAGAACATGGCGCATCGATAAAAATTATTGGCTGTAAGCTAGAGATATTGTGTGTGGATTTTTTTCAGACACCCATTACCAGAGATTCCCACCATTCTATGTAAGGGATTTTAACATTTGCAGGTTTTGATAACCATGGGGGAATTGTAAAATCAATTCCATGCAGAAATTGAGGAATAACTGTACTTGCTAAATTTCCAGATCTTTTGAGATATGCAGTTGAATCTGCTAAGATAGCATCCTTCGAATTGCTCTCTTATCTGAAGTAACAAGATCCCCCTGGAATTGTTAATGGTATTCAATTTTCTTTGCTTTTCTTATGTCTTAGGAACTCTACATAACTTATAACATTCTAGGAAACATGAAAATTCATTGTCAAATAATTTTACTGTAGTTACATATTAGTTTTCATTCTTATATCATCAGTAGCTGATCCAGAAGAATCCTACTCTACTCTACTAAGAATCCAAAAGAACAGATAACTCAAAAATTTAAAAAATACAAATATTTAATAAGGACCTTTATTAATATGTGCCAGATGATTGTATTGCAAATGATCTAATCAATCACATTTGCCATCATAAATGTTTTAATGTGAAAAAATAAATTTTAATTTTTTTGCTTTAATGGGAAAAGCTTAACCACCTGTAACTCTCCATGAATCAGCTCCTATAAAGCATCAATTTTATTATTCTATTCAGCAACTAGTAAATACAGTACATTTACTAGTTAATTATTTTCACTTCTTTCCAGAAATACAGTAGGTGGCTTAGCTGAAAAGATGTGAGCATCATTGTTCCAAAATTTCTGAATGCTCTCTGATGGGACATACAGTATAAAAACAAACAAGTACACTACTGCCTTAAAGTGACTCCAAATCTGGTCAATCACTTCTTGCCCTATCCACTCAAGATGAGGTCATATATGTGATGGGGATTGTTTGCTTATATCTAAATAAATAAAATTACTTGTCCTGACTGACTGACTGAGTCACTGATTGATTCATCAGTGCCAAGAGCAAACTGTTGAATCTAAAAGAGGTGAAATTCGGTACACAGTTAGGTTATGTCACGAAAATGCACACTAAGATGGGATTTTTTGAAATTCCCCCACGAGGGAGAGCATTAAGGCTTAACTGGACAAACGACTTCTACTGTACTATTTTTAAATGCGATTTTTTGTTTTTATCTGTGTTGTAGTAGGTACGCCATGAGAATGCACACTAAGAAGGGATTTTTCAAAATTTCCCCATGGAGGAGAGGGAGAGCATTAATGCTTAACCTGAAGAACTGCTTTTGAAATTGATTCCCATACTTTCCCTTAAATTGATAACATTTCAGACATTGTTATAAATATTTTTATATATTTTGATTTTTCAACCAAATGTTCAAATTGTTTTAAATTCAAATTTGTTATTGCATATTGCTTCAATTATAGAACAATTGTAAACGTTCCAGAAAATTGATCAAATTGAAAATAGTTTGTTTGATTCTCAGCAATTCTCATTATTCTCAGTGGTAGGTGTTATATAACAATTACTACAGTTGTTGAAATATTGAATATAAATGGGGTTTGCTTGCAAAATCCACGTAGGCGAAGTTGCAGGTAACAGCTAGTACAGTATATTTTATGATACCTTTTTAATATATATTGGTTCTGGTGTGTGTCCAATAAAACCCGTTCATTATGATTCTGTAAGAAATCTTTTGACTGTTAATTTATTAGAAAACTGACAATGGAAAGTTTCATCAAATATCTATATATATGACATATACCAGAGTATAGAGCGCCCTGCTGTCATGTGCTGAAAGATGATATAATGCAAGATTAAAGATACCCTTATAAGTCTTCCTTAGAATAGTGCTCCATTATGAGGATTGCTGCTGACATGATACTTATTTAAAAGGACTGCTCTACTATCCAATACTAAGTTAATAGGCATTCCACTAACATAAAACAGGAGAATGCTCTCTCTACCTTTTGGTGGACATACCTTTTAGAGTTTACAAGAGGGCAAATAGTGGTTATTACACCGCATACATAATATTACTTCATATCCTCCAATATTTAATTTGCACTTTTAAATATGAATACACTATAACAGGGAATTAATCTTGCAGCTTTTCATTGAACAAATGCAGTTATAAAGCATCTAGATAATTAAAAATAGGTCACTCCCCTCCATCTGTTGCTAGTCTTTGTACATGACACATTTAGTGATTAAATGACTTTCTTGCAGACAATCTTACCACATTCTTGACATCAATTTTGTTTTACTATTCTTCACTTTTACAAAAAAGTCATCTGTCTAATCAGCTGATTGTTTGGAGTCACTGTCCTGATTATCTTCTACTTCCCACTCTCCCGGCAGAAAGCTCTACAAGAGCTAGAAATATCACGAATATTTAGGCATCCCAAAGGCCTGTTGGTCTATTTTCAAACTAATAAGTCTAAGAATTTATCGAAACCCACGACATTGTTAAGTAGATATACAGTACGACCCCACTTAACATGGGATACGTTCCTAGATGACAAAGTGCTAAGCAAAACAGATTAAATGAGGCTATTTGAACAAAGTAAATAAGGATAGGGAAACATGCGACCAAAAATAAACAAATTTTACTTTAAGTTATTTTTATATTAATTTGTATAATAATATATGTTAAATAACACAAACATATGCATGCATATGTTTGTGTTAGTTAACATATGTTGTTTCACTATATATAAAAAAAATTATATTTACATTATAATAAATATATTAATAATGTAAATAAATTTATATTCCTGCTTACTGCAACTTTGAATAGCTTAAAGCAAAGGTTCTCAATCTTTTTGAAGTCAGGGAACACTAAACTTTGATGTTTTTTTTTTTCCTGCAGAACATCAGCTTTAAAGAGGGGAGGCAAATCCTTTTGAAATCAAGATTGCACTCGGTCTAGTACAACGGTGGGCAACCCCCGGCCCGCGAGATGTTTAGAAGAAATTATAAATAAATATTTTTTGATGTAATTCATCTAGTTTAAATTGAATATTATTTTCTGAAGTGTTGTGGCAGCAATGACAGGAAAAAATAAGGGAGTCATTTCCTTATTCAAACAAAAAATGGGAGAACAGAATTTTTCTAAATCCATCAAGAAAATCTATGTGCAAAAGCTATGCAATTAGAAAATGTAATGTCTGTCGTATCCAACTACATAGTGCTGTTTTTATTGTGTTTAAAGTCACTTAGATTTTACAAATAGGTGAGCCGTTCACAGCCCGGCACACGCATTTGTAAAATCTAAGTGACTCATACAACACGGAATTCATATAAAATGGAATAATCAACAGTGTTATAAGGGAGGTTGACTGTAGTAATTAATTTCTTTTTATTTATTTATTTATTTATTTCATATTTGCAGACTAAAAATTTACAGGTCACAAGGCGTCAATTAACTACTATGGCCCATGGAAAAATGTAAAATTTATTCTGGCCCATGTTATAAAAAAGGTTGCCCACCCTTGGTCTAGTATACGTCATCATTGGCATTTGCCGATTACATTCCCATACAAAAATTATTTTACACTATATTGATTTTTCTTTTGAAACAATTTTTAATTGTATATTTGGTTTTTTTGTGGAACAGTTAAAGTGGATCTCAAATCAAGAACCACAAGCTTAAAGTAATAAACTCAATAATTAACTAAATTCTTTTATCGCACATAGCAAGCTACTAGTTAAGCAAATGTCCACCATCCAAAATAATTTTTATACCAAAGCTCTTTTTAAATAGTCATTCACTGATAATTCAAAATAAAGCAAACAAAAACTCTTTGATTTCTATTATATAAAAATAAGATTTCTAGTAATCACATCGACTATTAATACCTTACAATATTCTTAAAGTGACCAACACATTTGGCATTATGTGCTTCTGCCATTTTACTTCTATTCTCATACCGAAATACCGTATTATTCGTCTTTCACAAACGGTTCAAAACAACACCGCCGTCAGATTATACCTATTAACTCGTCCGACGGCATTTTTATTACGCAAATCGACATTAAAAACGTAAGCTTTTCCACGACTCGATAAACGCACTTAAAATTATCAATACATCATCCGAAATTTACTAAATCAATAGCGTACGACAGTCGACAAGTTATAAAAAACATAATTCTATAACATAGAAAATTCTATATACAATTTTCACGTAACTTACCGCAACAACAACACGCCAAAATTTAACATTTTCCTGATATTTTCAATTTAATATTTATCCACTATAAACAAATTTTAGACACCATCAGAGAGAGAGAGAGAGAGAAAAAAAAAATCATCCATCTTAAATTTTAAACTTGATTCGGCACTTGTAAATCTCTAATTTTTCATCTACGAACCCAAACAGGCAACAGGTGTCAAATCAAAATTTGGATCAATACAAAATATTCTTCCATTTTCTCCCATTCATAATGAACTCTTTATGATACTAATTACTTATTAAAATCAAAATTGTGGGCAACGACTAATTTATTATTTTGACGTATAAACTTCAACTCGTACGAGAATAGATTTTATTTATTTATTTTCGTTTTACCAACTTCTCGCTTCTTATTTACTTAAAATTTAACTTAATTTCTTTTTGGACCGGATAGAAAGTGTGGAAAAGCGACGGGAGCGACGTTTAAGGTGTCGTTCGACGATTATAGAGTAAATATCGATTTAGTTAAAGGTGAACGTTCAAGAAAGAAGACATCGATCTTAAAGACGACGACGTAACTAAATTTAAGTCGTAATATATAAATATATCCGATTACGATGTCGACGGACTAAACATCGCCTAGGAAGTCAAACTTATTTCATCTTATAAGTTAATAACTTACTTCCATTTATAATTAACATTTATAAACGCATGGATAACGACAAATACTCACCAATTTAGTTTAAGATAAAGACAACTTCGACTTTCGACCGCAAAAATGACAGACCAATGACTCCTCCACGTCGAAATCCTCGTCTCGATCCTTATGACGTCACGTCACAAATGGAACTTCCACCTAACGAAGCGACACCAATCGGGATACAATGGACGATTTTTCCTACATTACTCATTCTCTCCCCTAATGGATTTTTTTCACTTTAATATATTTGTCTAGATGAAGCTTAAAATTCGATTTTGAAACTTCTTATAAATTAATATAATTAAATAAATTATTTCGTTATACTTTCTGCTAAAAATATATACAAAGGTTACGTATGTTGTTTAGTAACATATGATAAAAATAAAAATAAATAAAATACCGTAAGATGTTAGAGTGAGACGGCAAAAAAATGGGAAAAAAAGACGGGATATAAATGTTTAAAACGCGAAACGATCAACCTGTTGCGTACGAGAACGAGAATAGAATTTTGGCACGAGACCAAAAGATTTAACAAAAAAGAAATTCAAGGCTAACTGTTGAATAAATCCGAGTTTCGTCACATTTTTCCTTCTAATTTCGATATCATTTTTTAAAAATTTATATTATTATCCAATATTCGTCATTCGTTAATTATTTTTAAATATTTCCGTTTATTTTTAAATAAAAAAAAATAATAATAACAAATAAACGCGATAGGGTAATTTTATTTCGATTTCGGATAACAGTTTAATGAAAGGCATTATTATAAGACACGATATTAATTTTTATTAAAAAAATTATAACAAAATAGCAAAAGTTTGTGGGATGATTGGTAAATCGAAATGCGGTCGATATTTCATTTTTCGAATAAATAAACATGGTGAACGCTTCGTTATCGTTTTTTTTTTTTTTCGTTTATTCTGTAACGGTGGGCATTAAAAATGGATAGAAAATGCACTTTACGTCAGACACAGAATCCTCATTTTACACTGGAAAGGTTTTGAATTATATTATGATGACCTTTTTGTTGCCGACGCCGGTAATATTATCTGTTATAGATTACAACTAACACCTACCGATACGATCTGTAACAATGCATTATATGTTTTCGTTGACACGTTCTTTTTTTTAAACTTATCTTTAAAAAAATATTCGTTTTATCATTTTACAGTAGTTTAAATTAATTCGATCCTTTAAAAATAAGGTAAAAAAGAAAAGAAAGAAAGGCAAAACTACCAGTTGTTCCGATTACATACGACTACGTCAAAGTATAATACATCGCGTAACATCAGAATTTTAAATACACAAATTATACTCGTCACCGGGGAATAAAACAAATATTTTTCTGATGTTAAAGTAACAAATATTTATAAAATTCACTGGCGATATTTTACAATTTTCTTAACATTTTCTTTATAAATTAGACTAAATACAGAATTTTTATGTTGAGTATTTAATAAATTCTTCTATCTTAAGATATTTCCACGTTTATGACAAATTTCTGACAGAAGGTAAACAACTTTATCCATTTTTAAATAAAAAATTTATACTTCGTTTTTAATATACTGTATACATATATATATATTTGCAGTATACTCGCTACGTATACATGTATACATTCCTATATTGTAAATATCAAAGAGTAAATTTATTTCCTCGATATTTTCGAAAAAAAAACCCATAAAAATAAGCAACAAAATCTGAAATTAAAGAAGTTGTGAATCATCCTTCGTCATTTGCAAACAATAGAAGCGATAACACCAAAAAATACAGTCCCGTACTTATCGTTTTGTAAATATGAAAAAACCGATAAACTAATTAACCTAAAAATTTCTGATATTTATCTTCGGTTAAAAATGCTTATAATTGTCCTTTTCTTACTCGACAAAATTTCAAACATATTTATTTATTAGTAATGTGTATTTTAATATCGTAAAAGCGTGACGAATTCCGAGTTTAACGAGACGTGGAGTTTTTTTTTATTATTAATCAATTCGACTATTAAAAATAATTATTAAATAAATAATTTATCGTTATTCGAGAAAAATATTTTAAATAATTAAATAACTATTTAATTTTCCTGCTGGCAAAAAAAAAAAAAATGCCGCGATTACGATGACATCTGTAGGCCGCGAATGTTATTAAAACATTTAAAGTTTACATTTTTTAAAATAAATTTCTTCGTAAATTTTTGTAAACGAAAAATTAATAAGCTTTCTAGTCAAAAATACTGAAAATTTTAAAGAATTAATTTATAATTTTTTTATATTCTTATTAATCTCTTATTTTTCGTATTTATTCCCCGTTTTTAAGCTTTTCTAATGGGGGAGACGACAAATTAGATGCCAAATTTTTCTTACTGCTTTCGAAGTATATTTGAGTAAAGTTTAAAGAAAATGATACCGTTAAGTAATTTCCATTCGAATTAAAATCTAATTAGTTTAATACTACACAATCGACATTCACACGAGTAGTCTACATAAACTGGCGTGAAAAACTTAAGCAACAATGTAATTTTCAAGCAGACAGCCATGAAATTGTAGAAAAGGGCTTTTTACGATCAGTACAATGAACACCCTGTTCAGTAGAAAGGTGATTCGTATGCAATTATTGGGAAAAAGACATCACAGGTGACCTGAGGACACGAAAAACGCGTACACAGTGCAAGACTACAACAAATAGGAGAAAAGACGCGCTATTAAAGACATTTGCTACAAGTTCAAGTGAGTTTGTACGTGCAATATGACTAGAAGAAACCATCTGGATGACTTTACACGTTATAGAATGATTGGCAAGCTTGAGGGGAGCGTAGTTTGACAAGTGTAGCCTAGGAATCAACAAAAGTGTCGTTTCACGAGCTTGGAGAGTCTTCCAAAGCAGCTGTAGGAAAGGTAGGTGGTGGTCGTAAAAAAAACAGTGCCAATGGGTGACTGATATATCGTCCTGAAGGCGAAAAGGGGTCAATACCAATCAGCAGACAACATTGCTCAGCAGCTACGTATGGCAACGGGACAAAAAGTGTCACCGTTTAATGTAGCCAGATGCCTTCATAAAAGTGGCCTATTCACCTGTTGTCCTGAACGCTGCATCCCATTGACAGTTGCTCATCGGCAGCACCTTTACACTGGTATAAGGAACACAAAGACTGGACATCTTATCAATGGAGTCGCGTCTTCTTTACAGATGAGAGTCGTTTCATTATAACAAGCGATTCTCAATACCAGTTGATATGGAGAGAGGTAGTGTGCTCATTTGGGGAGACATTATGATGAACGGGCGGACTGAGCTTCAAATTTTTGATGGAAGTACTGTTACCAGAGATCGCTATTGTCAACAAGTGATCCTTCCCCACGTGCATCTGTTCTGAGGTGCCATTAGTGCAGACTTCGTGTTTATGGATGATAACTCCAGGACACATCAGACTCGTGCTGTTGAGAAGCTTCTAAAAAGTGAAGGTGAAGATATCACTTTTTTTAAAGCTCTTTCCGCCCTGTGGGCATTAAGAGGGTCTCTTTTAGCAGGACTATTATGAGTTTTTATGGGTTCGTCTAGGTCCACAATGGGGCGACTGGGTGGTGAGGGATGGAGCCCGACATCTCCGTGCCGGACTACCCCCGAAAAATTGAAAAATTTCTGGGGATTTCTCGACCCGACAGGATTCGATTCCGGTCCTCCAGAGCGGTAGGATGCCACCTTAACCGCTCGGCCATCCGGCCTAGTAAAGATATCACTAGAATGGATTGGCCAGCTGATTTAAATTCCATAGAACATGTGTGGGATGCTTTGGGGAGACATCTTTCGGCATGATTATATCTGCTGGAGAACACCCAACAACTGAAACAGATGCTCATTGAGGAATGGGCACTCTTACCTCAACAACCGTTTGATAATCTGATTTTTAGTATGGAGAGACGGTGCCAAGCAACCATTGCAGTTAAGGGAAATCATCCCCCTCACTGAGAGACATCTGTTTGTTGTTCTCACTCTTGGGCAGACAATCGTTTGTACCAACGCTGCTCTTTCAATAAAGCCTTTTTTTGTTTGATTCCATACTGTATGCGTTCTATTCATTTTTACGCTACTTAGCTTTCTTTATCCTTTAAGTACAGTACAAAATACTCTGTATTCTGAATTTCATGTCCCCCAGATGATTTCTTGCGGAGTTATGGCAAAACAATCGTTGTTTAAGTTTTGCACACCAGTGTATATTTTTAACACCTTCCCGTTTTCGCACGTCCAACAAAACTCGACCCCCATAAAACGTTTATCACTTTACGAATGACAGATACAGTAAGTAGAAACGAAACTTACAAGAAATTTTGAAATAAATATAATAAAATGTATAAAACTTAATAAAACAAATAGATGTCCATAGGGGCGGATCTAAGTTCTTCGGGGCCTAGGGCTTATTGAAGTCCAATGGGGGCCCCATTTTTTGTTAGATTAGGAATCTTTAAATTGAGGTTTAAAATTCATTTTTAATAACATCAAAAACAAAGTTGAAATATATTTATTTGTAAAATGGTGTTGAATGACGATAAGTGCTCATTGTTAATAAAAAAGTATAAACATTTATAATAATTCAATTTTTGTGGGCCCTTGACACTTGGAGGCCTAGAGCTTAAGCCCTATTAGTCCCTATATAGATCCGCTCCTGGATGTCCACCGAAGCTTAACACCTCCACTCCTCCTTATCCAACTTTGTCTGACTCGTTGTAACCCCCTCCTTCCCTTTCAATTTGGACGCCATTTATAAACAGCTCCCTAACAGTTGTGAATTTTAACATATTATTGCCAATTTGAGATTATATTTATTGTTCAGAAGCTTATTTTACGCTTCTAGTGCATTTTTCATTCGAGCGCAGTTCGAATTCTGAAGCATAGTTCGAACTCCGAAGCAAATTTTTGTCGAGTTTAGCGTTCGAAGTCCGAGGTACGACTGTGATTATATGACATCTGGTGTAGTTTAATGGTGATAAATAACACCTGATTAAAACTGAAAACATTTCGGTTCTGCGTAAATCCGGCCTACACGAATTTTACTGTATGATGTTTTCTTAGGAAAAGGATACCACACATATTTTATTTTCTTTTTTTTGTTTAACAATAACGATATTTATTTCGACGAGTGAACTCTCCTAATATCGCTCCGCGCTTCTAACCAACGCAATTAATTTACACTCAAACGACAATACCCTAGTACGTGACGCAGGTATATTACGTACTGCGCATAAATTCTATTAATGTTTTTTAATGCAATTAGCAGAAATTATTCCGTAGTTATTATAAAAATTTCAAAATCTCCAATTTTTATATAGTTTTATACAAGGAAAAAAAAAAATAAATTAAATAAAAGAGAGCGAAAAAATTTCGTCGAAATAGTGTCGCCATCTGACGAGCGACGAAATAATTACCACGGAAATGATCGGACGTGTTTCGCAATGTGTTGTGGGTAACGGTATTTGATTGGCGATGCACTTTGGGAATT